TGAATGACACAAAAGTATTTGAAAGTAAAAATTTGATTGAAAAACATTTCTATAATAAATACGATGAGATTCTCTTTGAATACAATTCTTCGTCAATATTAATACCAAAACGAAATAAATATAAAGAGAAGTTTGAAGACAAAGAATCGTGTCTTAAGGATACCTCATTTGGAGCACTCGTGGATGGATTGGTTCAGTATTTGAGTTCTGTTGCGATTAAAAGACAGATAAACACTGATATCATTGCCTTCAACATTGAAAATAAATCTCATGTATTCACTGATGAGACAAATGTTAGGATCAGGTATTATTGTAACATATATTCTGTACAACTATTTTGTTTTGTCATTTATTTAAATAGTTTAAAACACAAGAACCAACTGGTGTTAGGCGATAGCGTTGAGTGCGTTTTCTGGGATTTTACACAAAACAAATGGTCTTCAGAGGGCTGTCGTCTCATTGAAAGCGAGTCTAACCGCGAGACAACTGTCTGTGAATGCAATCATTTGACAAACTTTGCGGCACTTATGGACACGAGTGGCAGAGAGACCGACGACGAGACCAAAAATATATTAACACTAATATGTTGTTCCGTTTCCAGCGTTTGTCTTATACTAACCATAATATTTTTGACAAGAAAAAGGTTATTTCACATGAGAATCAAAAACAAGGGGTTGAGTGACACTACTTTGGCTTTCTTGAAAAAACAGGACTTTTTTATTGTCAATCTTTGCGTTTGCCTTTTGATAGCAAATATACTGATATCCATAGGAATGGACAGAAATGAAGTGTTGGTAATAAAAATGAAAATTTGAATCTTTTGTAATGTATACAAAAATGTTCAATATTTACCTTTAATTTAAATTCTTTAATTAAATTATACATATTTTATATTATTTTTGCAGACATTGTGCGAAGTTTTCTCATTCTTTCTGTTGTATTCATTGCTATCAATGTTTGTTTGGATGCTTTTGCATGGATTTCAGTTCTTTCGTTTGGCATACAATGCATACAAAATTCATTTCAATAAATATATTTATTTGTGTCTCGGCTATGGAATACCCGTAGCTATTATACT